TAGTACCAAAATTACATTTTTATGACTTATAGTAGATGAACTAAATTTTAAAAGTCATTACAGTACAAACACTATCATAATCGGAGCATATAAAAGTATGTTGTAATCCTCTTGAAATGATCCTAAATCCTGCCAATGAAGACTGGACTCGTGAGGACCAACTTCTTCTTCATCGTATTATTTAAATTTAAAAAGAAAGAGAAACACATCCTTTGTTAACTATTAGTTTTTTTTTTTTTTTCTTTTCATTCTTCTTTTTACCCAAAATTTTTTTAATTATAAAATTATGATAACCTAGTTTATAAATTATTTCTAATTATTATCAAATTAAATTTTTCTTCAAAAAATTTTAATTAAATTTTATTCTAATTTAAGCACATGTCAAATATTTTAAATTTATTTTTAATTCAATTATATATTGATTTTAAGATGATGTATTGAGTTATCTTTATTTAAAATAAATTAATTACCATTATTTTGTAAAAAAAAGGTTTAGTGCTAAAGAAATTGCCCAAACAAAAAAATGAAAAAAAAATAAAATAAGGTTACTTCTAATATAGTAAAACTAGTTTTTTTTTTTACCCTGGCACGAAATTTTTTATTATATTTTTAATAATTTAATTTTTTTATTTATTTTAATTTTTATATTGTATATAAATAAATAAAAATATCCGTAATCATATATAATTTGTAGTTTCAAATTACAAAAATTATGTATATATAAATTATTATGAAAGAATCCAAATTAAGCATTATGAAAGCTTTGTATCATGAAAGTAAAATTATACACAAACCTCAATGAAAAAGCCAATCTTTAGTTCATAATTACATACACTCTTAAAAGTATACATGTGATATATCATGAAAGACTTTTTCATATTTGATTTTGAAATTTTATCATGTCAAACTTTTGTGATGAAAATCTAATTGTTCTATCTTTTATAAAGAAGAAAATATCGATTGTGAGAAGAAATCATAAATATATATTTGATAATTATTTAATTTTAAAAAATTCTAAATTTTTAAAAGTGTAGTTTATCCAAGTTCAATTTTAAATTAAGACAAAATAGTCAGTATAATTTTAAATATAGATATATGTTTAATTTTAAATTGAGATAAAATATCTTTTTTTTTATTTTAAATCATAAAAAAATAAAGATAAAAAGATTATTAAATAATAGTGATTCAATCACAAACTTTATTTATTTAAATTTATGTGAATATTGATTTCGATGATGTGTGATGTTTTATAATTACTAAGATTTAGGGATTTAACTTTTAAAAACTATTTGAATTTTGTATTTCATATAAATGAGTAAAAATAAGCTACAATATATGTTTTTTCAGGTTTAAATTAGGGTAAAATTTAAATAATTTGAAAGACTTGGATAAATATAAACTTTAAAACTTTAAAATTTTTAAAAATTGAATAATTTGTTGGATAAAGTTATTTAGAACTATCCTACATGTCAATAATTAAGTTGTCTACCTAAACGTTCACGTAAGCAAATTTTATCAAATTCTTATGTATGTTATAATATAATATTATATATGATTTGAACAAATATTAGTTTTAGGTTAAAGAGTCAAAAATATCTTTGAATTATAATTAAAAATATTTAAACTATTAACATTTAATTGCAATTAATCGAGTCCTTAATTTTTTATTTTGACTCAATTAAACCTTTAATTGTATGAAATTTGGTCACATGACAAAATTAAATCAATTAATCCTTTAACTATAATCGATTAAATGAATGTAAATAAATATTAAAAGAGTTGATTTACTACAATAAAAAAAATTAAGAATTTAGATAATTTTTTAATTATAATTCAAAGATTTTTTTTATTACTTTTAGCCTTTGTTTTACTAATAAAGTCCTAACATTCATTAGCTTTTCAAAAAAAGATAAAATTTGCTTTTTAAACTAATAAGGATAGTTTATTTTAAAAAATTAAACTTATAGATCACAATTATATTTTCCCATTTTTCACATTTCTTTCCTTTTTTATTTTTTTATTTTAATAAATTTCTTTATCATTAAATTTTTAAAATAATGATAATTAATTTATTTTAAATAAAGATAACTTAATACATTTATCTCAATATCAATCTATAATTAAATTAAAGATGCGTTTAAAATATTTAACATTCACTTGAATTATAATCAAAATTAAAATTTAGTTTGATAGTAGTTAGTAGTTACTGATAATTTTAAAACTAATTAAATTCTCATAATTTTATAATTAAAAAAAATCTTCAGTATAAAAATGAATGAAAATAAAAAAAATAAATAAAATAAAATAATTAGTAGTTACAAAAGGTATGTTTATACTTTCATTTAAACTTAGCTTAGGATCTGTTTGATAAACTAAAAAAAATTAAGCATTAAAAATTACATACTAATTTTTTTATGTAAATTACATACTGAATTTTATATTATAAAAAATGTTTAGTATTTTATTAAAAATTAAATACTGAATATAAATATATTATTTGATAATGGTAAAATATTGAATTCTAAAAATTTATAATTTTACATTTTCACTTTTATTTTTATTGCAGATAATGAAATAGTATTTTTAGGAGATAATAGTTCAAAAAAATTTAAAAGCGAAATTTACTAAATGTTTTTTACATTAAATAATAGTTTGTGTCTACTTATCTTAATCAACAAGTTTTGGTTAAAAAAATTTATTAAGTGAATTCTAAAATATATTATCAACGCTTTTAAAAAATTAAATTATTAAAAATTTTCATTTTCAACGCATTGAACAGTTTTAATTTGTAATCAAATAGGGCTTTAGTGTTTAACACCTGGGAATCAATGCCTTCTTTCGAGCCGAACCTCACGGAAGTTTTTTTTTTTTTTTAGTTTTTATTTTTAATTTTAAGATGATAGAGCTTTACAACAAAAAAGAAGAGAGAGATTAGAATAGAACTTCAATCTTATATCTTTTTAAGACTTAATTATTAAATTAAATAGTTGAAGACACACGAGAATATTTTAAAATATATGAATTGTTCACATTAAGTATTTAAGGATACATGTATCATGACCCTCATAAATAAAAATACATGTATTAATCTACTCGCATGTATAATTAATGAAATCTAAAAGAATGAATTAGATGATAATTATATATAAATATAAAAGAATGGATTCAAACGGGGCTATCTTGCGCCACGGTTGGGGCCGCTTGCCCTAATTGCATCAATCACCCTATTTGGGTGTGATTCGATAGGAGTATTCCTACCGCAGTGCACTTCATTTTGCCCATTGGAGAGGAACCCTCCAGCGGGCTACTGGTCTCATTTTACCCCCTAGGCAGTGTACTGTCCGCCATTAAGTGCTCGACTGCCCTCTTGAAAAGTAACGTGCACAGTTAAAATTAAATTGACCATTTGGTTTCCCTCACATGAAAATCTAAATATATTATATGTAAAAAAAATTTTAATATAATTTTACTTAATGTTATTATATATAAAATTGTTCTTGGGACTTCACTTCCATCTTGCTACCATAAAGAAAGTTGATTTACCATTCGCATTTCAAAAAATTCAATCCTCATATTTGACTACTTGTAGCAGAAGACTCTACTACGTTATTAGATAATAATTAGTCGTCACTACGTAACCTAACAAAGATAACATACAAATAATTCTTCAAAATTTATTTACAAAAGTATTACTTGAAATTATAAATAATTTAGTAATTTTTAGTTATTTATTTTAATTTCACAAATTTAAATATATATTGGAATTAATTATAGATAAATTTAATTATAATACTCTTAATAATTTTCATTTTTTTTTCTTTTAAAAACATATACTCTTCATTGTCACATTACATTTACATTCCAAACACATATTATATCAGATTTTAATATCATTATTATAATACTCAATATCACTATTATAATAATTAATTTTACCATTATTATTATTTTTATTTTTATTCAAATCAATCTTGTAATGCATCCAAATGGATCCTAAATTATGAAAAAATAATTGCAGAAGATGATATATAATGCTGGCAAAAAAAAAAAAAAAAAAGAACTGAAAAGACTTCTAAAAGTATGGCTTGTCATGCAATTTCTTGTTGAGATTTCTCTTAAACCCTAAAATAATTAGGTATAAATTTGATTTATAAGTAAACACAAAACAATGATTTTTATTTTTAAAATAATTATTAATATAATAAAATCATTTTCATTCTTAGATATATTATGCATAATTTATTAATCTCTTTAACCAAATAATTATAATACTGCTTGATCTAACTTCTCAATATCAAATTTGATAAATATAAATTGTCCATAATTAGGCTTTCAATTTAATGGGATAGCTACCATGTTAAATCTATTTGTCTAGATGAGATTTTATTCATTTTTTTGGACATAAATTTAACAAAGTTTGGACTAATAAATGTCACCTACAATATGATGGATTCTTTCCAAAATGTGCAACTTGAATTAAATATTTACATTTGCTATGTATTGTAAATATTAAAAAGCATTCTAAGAAATTGAAATTTAATTAATATAGATCAGCATGAGAGATAACATTATAATGCTTAGTTAAATATTAATAACTACTACCACTTTCCAAATTTCAAGCTATGACCTCGTTTGTAAAAAATATTTTTTAAAAAATGTCATTGAATAAAATAAACGTTTTCCTATAAGGAACTAAAGGGTGATTTCTTGTTAATTAGCTGAACTACCCCATACGCTTTGTCTTTGTATATGTTGGTTTTGGGTAAGCTGGTTAGACTTTTGTAACCCAAATGTTTCCTCCTCCTTTGAAGGACAAATCAAGACATACCAGAGAAGCACATGTCTAGGTTGAAAGCAAGTCAAATAAGGAACCAAAGCCATATTGTAGCTCTATATTATGATGCTTCCAATACATTGTCATGGTTTTATCATATTAGTTGAGTTGAAACCTGTTTGAAGAAAAGAAAGCAGGAAAGAATACTAATAATAGTTATTATATTATGACAGAGAAGCAGAAAATTCATCCTATGGTGGATGTTGAAGCGCCAACTCCGACAGCCCCTTTGGTGCCTCCTGGCTCTGCTACATCGGAAAAAAGTAGCCCGATTCAGCAGCGTCCGCCACAACGTACCATTCCGGTGATTCACACAAGGCCACCGAAGAAGAGGAGCTGTTGTTGCAAGTGCATATGTTGGTCAATTAGCTTCATTGTCCTCCTCCTCATAATCGTTGGTGCCACTGTTGGAATTCTCTACCTTGTCTTCCGCCCAAAACTACCCAAATACTCCATTGACAGCCTGCGAATAAGTGATTTGAGGCTCAACTTTGATATGACATTGTATGCAAAATTCGACGTCAAGATCACAGCTGATAATCCCAACAAGAAAATCGGAATATACTACGAGCAAGGAGGGCGATTAAGCGTCTGGTATACCAACTCAAAGCTGTGTGAAGGGTCGTTGCCAAAGTTCTACCAAGGCCACCAGAACATAACAAAGTTGGACGTGATTTTAACAGGACAAACAGAAGGTGGAAGCACTTTGATGTCAGCCTTGCAGGAGCAGCAACAAACAGGACAGATACCCCTGGATCTTGAGGTTGATGCCCCCGTAGCAATTAAACTAGGGAAGTTAAAGATGAGGAAGGTGAGGATCTTGGGGGAATGCAAGTTGGTGGTTGATAGTTTATCTGCTAACAATATCATTAGCATTAAAGCTAGTAACTGCAAATTCAGATTGAAGCTTTAAATTCTTTCTTTTTATGTACTTACTGTTCTTTAGCTTTCCAGTTTTCTGATGGGAGTGTCTCTTGTTCTCTTTTTACCTTTTTTTTTTATTAGTTTGTTTATTTTGGTGAAATTTTGTTTTTGCACTATATTGATATCATTCAAGTTATTTTCAGAAATAAATCAATTCATGTTTTTATGAAATTATTTCTTCTGAGAATCACCTTCCAATTGGGGCTATGCATAAAAGAAAATTAATTAAGGGGGAAAATAAAATTGGTGAAAAAGATTGCTCCTCTATTGGAGTGTAGTAGGCCAACAACCTGATTTCCCGTCGGTAAACCACCAGCAGAAATCAACCTGGACTTTCAAAGATTTTGGTACCCAATTTCCCATTACGTGTGGATAAAGAATACGTAGGACTTGGGTGGGTAAAGTACTTCCAAAGGTCAGTGAAAAGTAAATAAAAGTTTTAAGTTCATGTAATATTAAGTAAATTTGAAATTATTCAAATTTTAATATTAATATTTTTTTTTATTTTCATACCACGATCTCATTTGTATTAAGAAATATTAGTTTTAGCTAACATCGTTATTAATTGATCATTATGCTTCTAAGAATTGAAATAACAAAATCAAATTTTAATGGTGCACTTGATTAAATCGTATATCCTAATTGTCTAAATTAGATTTACTTATGACTGAAATAGTATATGTGAGATGATTGAATCATTTAATTTCTAATGTGTTGAATTTATTTTGTATTTTGAGATTTTATTGCAGAACTCCTTAATCTGTTCCAAAATCTAAATCATGAATGGATGGTCTTTTAAACAATTTTATTTGGTAAATTACAATATATTTTACTTTGGAAAGAAAAACTATTGTAATTTTGATAAGATAGTTATCACTATCTTATTTTTCATAGTTTTGTAATGATTTAGTTTAATAAGGATTCTAGCCTTTGGCCAATGAAACATTGGTTTGGTGGTTAAAAAGAAATCCTAAAATCTTAAGTTCTTAGGCTCAAGTCTCTTGTGGGTTTGTGGGTTTGATTGTTTAATTATATTATAATTTATTAGTTAATTATTTAATAATTATTGATTATTCAATAATGTAATAATTGATTATATAAATGTAATATTTGATTATAAGTATAACTTAAAAAAAAAAAGATTTTAGCCATTGAGTTGGTTAAAATTAAATAAATAATAATAGTATAATGAAATACTAAAATTAAAGAATAAAATTATTAATGCAAACCTTTTATAAGAGTACTAGAAAATTTTCCTTGGCTATGATCGGGATCAAAAATTTTTTATTTAAAAATATGTTGTTATAGAATTTTTCTTAATGCAATAAGTATGTGTATTAATATTATTTAAAATGTTCAAATTTTAATATTTATAATTTTTTTCAAACTATGACTTCTTTTATTAAAAAAAAATTGGGCTTGGATCTTCTCAATTCAATAATAATAATTGATTGAAAAAATATCATATATATTCTCCAAATTTTCTTTGCAGTTTTTTTTTTTATTGATATGATGTATTTATATATTAAGTAATGATACGTATAGTTAGTAATTCAATATATAGATATATTAAGATATTCTTAAGTTTCTTATAAACCAAAAGCTAATAGAATAGCATAAGTTAAATCCACCTCAATTAACATAAGAACAAAATATTACAAAAAACTCACTCCCAAAATGTCCATGTACCATACCACCAAAGTAAAAATTTCACCCATATCCCATGGTCACATGTCAATACCACCTATGCTTGTAGACAACTTTATTTTATAATATTAGATGTTAGACTTTAGATTGATATTAATCACTTTTTTACAAATTTTGAATTAAGTTTCATTTTATGTTAGATTCAGATTAATTATTTTTAATATTTTTAGAGTTTGCATTTTTATATTTGAAATATAAAAGCAAGCATTTTATCAATGAAAATAATTAACAAATTGAATATTTAATGAAATATAGGGATCATCAAGTCCTGTTTCCCATCTGTAAATTATCAAATGAAAAGCATTCATACTACTCAAAACTATTAGCTATTTACTTAGCAAGACAACAAATAGGCACATTATTTTACAAATTCCCACAATTTTGTTTTTTTAATGTTGCACGGCATGCCAATGCCCTTATCGCATGGGCTGGTTAACCAACTCAAACTTGTTTCTGTAGCAAGCAAGGTATCTGACATACATGCAGGAGAGTTAGTTATTGTGAGAAATCATGGAGCGGATTATTTATAAATTAAGAACAAATAAGTAGGGATTAAATTTCGTTAGAAAAAATTATTAAGCAATTAAATGATGAAACTGAGTAAAAAATGAAATAGTTAAAGAAGAAAAAATAAAATAAAATAAATTAAAAAAACCCACAAAGCCCCCAAAAATGTGGTTTACATGCCGAGAGCAAGAAATTAAAAAAAAAGGAAAAAAAATGAGGCATTGCTGCAAACGTTGGTAAAAATTAAAATGAACAAATACAATAATATGGATAAATGACAACGTGAGTGCTTGAGTAATTGTGTTAAACTCCCATTTACAACGGAAAAAAAATTTTGAAATTACGTTCTCAACGTTTTGTGGACATTTACAACCAGTAATATGTTAGAGGCAGACAATCCCTACACGTAGGAAATATGACTCACCAAATTGAAAATTCAATCAAAGCCCTGCCTTGGAGATTTGCATCTGCAAAGGTTCAAGACTAGAAGCTAAGACAACAGAAGATTAGAGGTCAACTGATCATGGCTTGTTATATCCTTTCCAGAATGCTATGTCATGATGGCATTTCAATGTCACCTCCACAGAATTTCCATGATCCATCATCTTGCCTTCTAAGAGTATAGCGGATTTTATAAGTGCTGCAACCAAAGGAGTAAACAACTTAGTCCAAAGGTTATAGAACAGCTTCGAATTTAGGTTTTCAGGACAATTTTAAGTAAAACATAACATGCAGAAAATGCAAGATAGTAGAGGAATATAGCCAGTTGTCACACAGATTTAACTGGAGCTGCGATTTAACGTTAATGCATGGCAACATACATGTAGAAATTTTCCCTCAGCATACTTTCAATGTTGTATAAATCATAATCTAACATATAGCAACATTTACGATCTGAGTTCCAAAAATGCAGCAAGCCTAAGTTGGTTTGTTCACCTATAGTAATTAGGATTCTTTGGCTGAGATTCATCAACAAGCTCCGCTGCTTCCTCTAGGAGAGCCTCAATTTCAGCCGTCTCCCCCTTGTTTATATCCAATAGAATGTCTGCTCGCAGAATGGTCAGTTGCAGCAAAACAAATCTCCAATAACAACATCTAGCTTTTGCTGTATCAGCCAAAGCTTGCCACTGCAGACCAATTATGTGAACAAAAATAGCCCGGGTTTAGCTATGAAGTGTTATTTCCACCTCCAGGAATAGAATCTTGAAATAAATATACCAACATTTTTCCACATTATGAATTCGGAGTTAGTGCCTTGCACAGGTTTAGATTTTGAATTTTTAAACTCCGAAATGGTTCAATCTTGATTTTGATTTGAGCTAATCTTTGTTTAGTAAGAAATCAAATATAAATTTGGAGTGCATTTATTACATTTCTTTGACTTTTAAAGCTTTCAAAATTTTTATTTTCCTCATTGAACACCTAATTAAAGGTTGAAACCACCATTATATTTCACTGCATCAGGAAATGAAATCAAAGATAATTTCAATATTTCCTGGCAGCTATAGAAACAGGCAACTAAATCACAGATAGTGTGCTCTCATCAATATTGAATGTCTAAAACCCTATGTATTTCTCCAGAAGCAACATTCATATTTTCCAAATGGTACAGAGGTGGCAAAATGATTTCTCATATTATACAAAGCACACAATCACTGATCAACAACAGACTTCTTTTTCCCCTTCTTATCCTCCCTCCCTTATGGGGTTCTGGTGGGTTAGGCAGGGAGACAAGGGAAGGTTGATGTATGATATATCCTGTTGTTAATATAACAAAAGCATAAAATCAAATGAGACCATTCAATGGATTTTACCTGAATTAGCATCGATTCATCAAGGGCTTCAGAGAGGCTATGAACCTGATGTTTAGGTCCCAAAGCTTCAGCTTTAATTGCTTGCCATTGCCTGACAAGAGCTTCAGCTTCTTCCACAGGCATTTGCTTCCTGTCCACTGCTGTTACGGAAGTTGACAGACTAGCAGGAAGGCAGGCACTTAGTGAATTCCTAGCATCTGAAGGGTTCATGAATTGAACCTTGCCCACTTCCAAAAGTTTCTTTATCCTTCCACCAATGCCACTTTTCTTGATATGAGTAGAGCCAACATTGTAAACGAATGAAGAATCTCGTTTACAGGTTAGGGAACTTGTGTTCATGTGTGGTTTACTACCGGCCCATATTGACATATGCCTGATCCCACTTAATCTCATTCCTAATAGCTTAAAGCTAGTGAAAATAATGCATCCTAATACAGCAATAAAGGTTACCCTTTCAGTCACATTCCTCTGGGACAACCAGCTTTCCCAGGCTGTATTCTGGTTTACTCCAAATTTTCTTTTCAATTGAACAGACGATGCACTAGCATTGCCTCCATCGCTACTAGCATTGCTTCTGCTGCTATTCTCACTCGTTTCTAAAGAGCTCTGCAAATCGGTTGGCACTAATTGTTTAACAGCTGATGTGATATGTAGAGAAGATTTTATACAGGGAAGAGAATCCTCAAAATCTCTCCTTTCTGATGCAAGAGCATTAGATAGTGATCTATGGCCTAGATTGGGCATGATTTGAGGGGATCCTTTACTTTTCTTGCTCCCAGGAGCTTTTCTTTTACCACCAAAATAGTTGGCCTGCAGACATGTACACATATTAAAACTTCCCTGTTAATCTGATAACTCAATCATTTTGCTCTTACCAAAGATGGAGAAACATCTCTTGTATCAGGAAACAGAGAAAGCACAGCATCCTTTAGCCACATTTCCTGATTAAGTCAGTAGGCAATTTGGTATCAGAGAATGCATCAATCTTGATGATAAACAAGAAGTTCAATGAATTCAAAGGGGTTATGTGAAAGTGGAACACATTCCAACTAGCACCATAGTCATGACTATTTTCAAGTACACAACCTTACCAAACTACTTGTCTTCAAATCATAAAATAAGAAAAAACCAATAAAAAGACAAGGTGAATTAACATGGTCCATGATTGAATTTGTACACATTCAACAGTTTTAAATTCATGCTCTCTAGAAAAGCAAGAATCAAGCCCTTTTCTACCTCAGTGTTGTCAAAGGCGCAGGGTGTGCTGTAGGCACTTACTTCACCCAAGTGCAAAAGAAGTCTCGCCTGAGTGAAGTAAGGCACTAATTTCTAAAAGATAATTAATATCTACAGGACAAAAAAAGTTTTCTGTATTATGTTTAATAAATTTAAAATATATGATTTTGTTTAATAAGTATTAGAGTTTACTCCATTACAATACCTAATGTGCTCCAAAGATCAATATTATCGTAAGTAATGTCATCAAACAAAGTTCCAAGTTTCATTTCCATTTCAACAACAACTTGTGCATCAATTACATTATTACCTTTTATTCTTATAAATAGAGCTAAAAGTTTTCCCTTTTTACTATTGAAAGAATAGCAAAAAAAAAGAAATGAAAAACTTAATAAACTAAAGGACATTTAAGTCAGGCATGCTTTTTCTGCACCTTTAATCTTTAAAAATGTATGCCTAGTAGCAAAAGGCATGCATCTGGTTTAAGGCACCTCACCTCAAGAAGTGGTGCTTTGCTTTGCTTGCCACCTACGCAAGAGCCTTGACAACACTGTTCTACCTCATGGGGTCAGCTATATGTTTATTAAGAACCATAATTACAATAACATCATTAAGCACTAAGTCATTTTTGATAGTTTCCTCCAATCTCTTCATTGGAGTATCCTTCCCCCTTTTCAAAGGAATATTCTCCGTTAAATCACAAACTCAAACATGAGAATTTATAGACCTATGTCCCACTTGGCCAAACCTCCTTAAACATGTCTCCTCTTTTTATGCTGACTACTGTGTCCACATTTTCCTGAATGCATGTGTGCATTCCTAATCCTATATTTTCTTGTAAACCCTAATATCTTTTGTAGCATCCTCATCTCAACTACTTCGATCTTTCACTTCACCACCCAAATTTCAATAGCATAAAGCAATGCTGTCCTTTTTGCTATCATGCAGAAGTCTGCCTTAAGCTTAAGAGCTATTTGTTGTCACCCAAATCAAGACCCCAGTAAAATTTCTCTATTTTGCAAATCATGCTAGGATCCAATGTTTGCATGAGAGCTCACTTTGCAATATATCTTCCTCCCCCATTTTTACACTAGCTTTATTGCCAGTCCTTAACTGAACTTTCATTTCCTATACTTTTTTTTAGACTTACTTACTTAAGGCTTTTGATTCTATCGATTCCCTCCAAAGCTCAAGCATTAAGAATGGGTCTCATTTCATCCACTAAATTCATGCCATCTGCAAAAGCATACACAAAAATATAGCATCTTGAATATGCCTAATAAATTCATTAATCACCAAGGCAAATAGATAAGGGCAAAAAAGCTGATCCTTGATTGCCATTGGGCAATGCTCAGGTCACCCCTCTAAAAATCTTTACACAAGTCACTACTCTATTATCGGTATCCTTCATAGCCTGAAATAACACAAAGACATCTTAATTCTCCAAAAACTTCCTATGGAAACATATAATCATCATTTGATAGTCAATTCAAAATAACTAGTAATGTATCAAAAAACATCCACTTTGAAAAGAGTAAATTAAACATACAAGACCTCCCAACTGTTGAAACTTTCTATTTATTGTATTCTCAGATGCATATTTTGAAGCATGAGATGTTTCAAGACTTACCAATGATGACATCGTACTAGAACCACCTTGCATCTCCTTTCCTGTGATAGACTTTTGGGGAGCAGGGTTCGAAGTTGATTGAAGCTGTTGAAGCTTTTCAATAGCCTCGGCCTCACTTCCCTAGCAGTTGACATATGAGTTTCAAAAGTATTTCAATGAGAAAATGCTCCAGCCTCCAAATATATAAAACCTTAAATTTCTACAATATTTTAATGCAACACTAGATAAAAGGGAGGGGATAAAATTTATACCTGTCCAAGAAGGAACAAGCAGAAAGCCTCCTCCAGCTTTAGATCATTACCATCAGTTGTTATCAAACACTCGCATATAGTTTTTGCTTTAATAATCTACACAAATAGCGTAAAAGGTGACAATACTAAGTTAGAATCAATTGCTAACAGTCTCCCACACCACCAGTCCAACACAGAACCCCAAAATATTATTTAGAGACAAGCAGAATGAGGAAATTACCAAGTCAGTTTGCCTGCTTGAAAATCCAAGAGCAATATGAGCAATCAATGCCATGTAGAAACAAGTAAAATCAATTATAACCCTTTGATTCTGTGATTCAATTGATTTCTTATTCTTCCTTGCAATTGCTAAATTATCCCAGGGAAGAATATCAACTACTTCTGAGGCCAACAGCCTATTAAGTGCTTGGCTCAAGAAGCTTGACCAATCTTGGACCTGGCAAGATGTTTCCACATCAAGCCCCTGTCTGAGTAGTTCACGGAGGGCTGCAATTGCTCCTTGCCGCCTGTCAGCATTTTCAGGTGATTGAGGCAAGCCTAATAATTCCAATGTGCATACAGGTGCAAGCTCCTCCAAAGATTCTTCTATCTAAGAACCATGGTCAATAAATTTAATGTAAAAAGAAGTCTGTCACATAAATCCTTGAGTAATAAGGATGGTATAAAATTACAGGCTTCTAATGTGGCACCTATCCTCCAACAATATTTCAGTCATCACTATTTGCTGAATATGTAAAGTTCTTAACCATCAGATGAATTCATTAGAAATTTTGGATTGTTTTGATTCTGTTTACCTTTTTTTTTCAGTTTCAAACTGTATGCTACTAACAATGATCATTGTGATTGAAACACACAAAACCAAGAGGATGCCTATAGCTATTATAGACTGAACCAAAACACATCTTAGCAAATCCTTGAATAAGTAAGGTGGAGGCAAAAGCACAAAATAGAAATGAGAATTACCTGAGATAACAATGTCATTTGTTGAAGAGATTTTGTACTCCTGAGAATACACTGAGCTCGAGCAAGAGCTTCAAATCCTTCAGACACCTTGCTCTTTTCAAAAGCAATCTTTGCAATTGAACACTTCAAGAAAGCACCTATGATAAGAAAAGTAGGCATAGCAAAGCTGACACTAAAGCTGGTAAAAGCTGTTAAGCTCATCACCTATTTGCCTCACCTCAGCTAGTGCCATTGATAGAAGCAAATCATGAATATATGGCTTAGAATCTGAATGCTGAACAGCTAGCCTCCCAATTTCGAGAACAAGCTCCTTTTCACCAACCTGAATTTGCAAGGAGCCCATACCATATCAGTTCGATCTTCCCAAGCTAAAAAAACTTGAGTTATTTAAGGCTTTCTTTGGTGGATGCTTTTGCTAATTACTTTTTGCTTCCAAAAGAAAAAAAAAAAAAAAAAAAAAAAGTAAGTTTGCACACTAAAGCAAATAAGATTTTTGAATAATTATTAGTTAAAAGTTTTTAACTTTTGTGGATAACAAAGTGTTAGAAATTACTTTGACATGCAACAATTACCTGAATATCTATTATACATTTTAGACATTTGCTCATTTTTAAATTTTTAAATACAATTTACCTTTTACAATTTACTTTTACATTTTGACAAATTGTGAAGAAAAAAGAATCAACTAGCAAAAAGATAAAAAGAAACGAAATAGCCAAGTATAGTCTCGGGTTTCTAGTTTATTACTTTATGCAATGCTTCCTCAAAAACTTAAAGCAAAAGCACAAAATAAAATTTAAAATCATACTCGTTTTACAATGAGCAAATGACTAAAATGCAACACCAATTCAAACATAATAACTAACCATCAACACTATTTTCTCAATTTTAAAATACTAGTACTTGCCTTTACATTCAAACATCTTTTATTTTTTGCTTTTTTTCAAATGCAAGAAGAACATTAAAAGCAAAACCATACTAGTTAAACTTACATTATGAAAGAGAAGGCAATGAGGCAAATTTTCTCTAAATGATTAACAATATCTCCCAAATACCCTAAATAATTAAAAATATCTCCTCAATTATGGCAACTAAAAAATAGGGAAAAAAAAAGTAGAAAATGCACAAAATAAAATGCACCTCTTGAAGAAGACAAAGAGCAGCAGGCAACCAACGCCATGGAATTCGAAGTGAAGATTTCGGTGGAATCTTTTCTTTCACATTTCCAGCGTATTCTGTTTCGAAAAGTAGCTTATCCCTCGCATCCATCAAAACTTCCTACAAGGAACAAGGAAAACAAAGCAAATAATAAAAACAAAAATTCAAACAAAGGTACAAAACGACCTCTTTAACTGTCGTTTTACCTGACGAGAAACGATAACATCCATAGTATATCCATCGTCAACCTCAGCGCTCTTCAAATTCATCACCGACTTCACAATCTCGTCTTTCTCAGCCTGACTGGAAATGCCGATCAGCTGGTAACAACTAATCGGGATATCAACGTAGGCGTTTCCGGTGACAGTTGTGGTGCGTGAAGAGGAAGAAGAGGAAACAGGCGCGATTTCGACAATGCCGATGCGAGTGTCGATAGCGCCGGATCTCCAGCGATTTCTCACGGTGGGAAAAAGACAGCCCTTAGACTTGATTAGGGTTTCGAAGCCTAAAATCTCACTGTAATTAAAGCTACGAGTGAAGATGAAACAAGAAGAAGAAGAAGAAGGAATAATTGGAGCCAAAGTCATATTACTCAGTGCCATTTCCAACACAAAAAGAAAAAAAAAATCGTTTATATGAATAAATTTTCCCAAAGCTTTATAACTATTTTGATGTGATTTCGAGCTAAGGATCTTAGATTGGATTGTTAGTTATGGTTACGGAGTACGGAGAGGCCGTTGCTTTGTTCTTTTTCCCGTTCTTCTAAGAAATGTTAGAAAGGACAAAGAATACTTTGAGAAATCACTTATCACATCTATGAAATTACAGCTTTTGCATTAGCATTAGGATATTGTATTGCTGCCAAAAAACAACGGACCACATTTTTTTGTTTTCTTTATTTATTTTATTCTTAATTAATAAATTATTTTTTATTTTACTTTAAAATCTATCATTTATTTAACAAAGTTGATTTTTTTTACTTATATAAATAAGTAAATAAAATCATCAATTAATTTTTTATACAATGTCAAGAAAAAAAAAAGGGAGAGAAAATTCTTAAATGAGATCGATGTAAATATTTTGGGTGCAGGGCATAATACTTTTTTACCATGGCTAAAAGAAACAAACAAGTTAAAGGCAATACCACCTCGAACATGTTCTGACAAGCACAAGCACAATTGCCACTCGTTGTTCAACCTCTGACACCCCGTTGTGGACTTATGTTGATCATGATTTGCAATAAGCATACCACATTAAATCGACCAACCACGTTAGATCACTTCATCTGCATCTCTTTTCATTGTTCTCCTTCTATAAAAGTTTTTCACTCTTTAAATAACCGTAGGCCCTTTTATTCTATCATCCCTCACCATTGCCTTTGCTTTGTGTTCGCCTCTTTAAATAACACTAAACGACATACTAACTTTTTCCCCTTCACGACATATTCCCTTTTACTTTGAAGTGCTTACCTTCAGATCCATTTTCGATGTAAATATTTGGCGCTCTAAATAGAAGGCACTTTTCAATATGATATCCAAGAAAAAAGTTGTTGAGAATAGATTGTTGAAATTGTTTAAAATCTCATCAAGTTACTAACATAAAATTAATCAAAACTAAAATTGATCTATATACGAACGAGTGCTCAATCCCACTAAACCAAGGTCCACAAAAGTATTGTCGTCATTTTGTGATTCCTGATGCCACCTCTCGAGCTCCAATTGGTAACCAACACAAGGAAAATGGAGAAAGAACTACTCTTTACTTGAAATTAGAGTTAATTGGATAGTATTATATATATAAGATGAAAGTATGGACCTCCTTTAACATGTTAGTCAAAATTAACCCATATTACTCAAGATCACACTTAGCAAATATCATACTACCAATTTAGGTATATTACAATATGGTACCATAATAATTGCTCATTAATTGACATTAATTAATATAATCCAATACATAATGACTTTGTTTGCCCACTTACATGAAATAAATACAACAATCTCCCACTTAGATAACACAAGTCATTAAATCTGAACTTGGATCAATAGAATGGTCATAAACAGAAAATGTCAATATTCATATATATCCAAATCACTATATAACAAAATGAGCATTTATAAGCCACAAAATACATTATACCGATATGGTACAAATGTGTGGACTTATATGTTCTCTACAGTCAGCAAGTATTTATAAGTCTCAGAATACACTGTATCGATAAGATACATGGACATAAACTTATAAATGCTTCACAACAACAAGTATTTATTAGCCTCTGAATACACCATACTGATAAGGTACATGTACATGTAAATGATAGTGTGAAATGGAAATGATATAAAAACAGAATCAATATCCATTTCCATTATGTCTTTCATATCCAAACTAAATGTGCATTGCTTCGAAATAAGCACATGAAACTAATCCAGAGTGTCTCATTCAACTGAATGCCATATTCATCAAATTGCAAGCAAATTGAATATACATATATCTGCCAAATAGGAATCCATCCTTTATAGTTGCAACTGATTTCATTACATTAAGTTCCCACTAACTCAATATTGTAAAAGACTCTACGAGCCTTGTATAAGTGTCATTTTGCCAAGACACTTTAGTTAATTAGTGGTTACACTAAAATGAGCTCTATAAATTATGTGTACTATACTTTACTCCTTCAATATATTCAATTACTTTCTCTAGTAAATTTGAATGATGATTTCCATATATTTTGGAGTGTGATGAACTCCTAGTATTAGAGAGAAAGTAACTGCTGTAAAGTTACTAACATGCATCTTCAACAACCTCAAAATGAGAACCACGAAAACCAACCCTAAGATAAATTTTGCAACCAACGATCTAACATGTAACTTCACAATATGCTACATGCTTTACCTTCATAATTGTGTACAGTAAACTTGCAACATACACAACGTCAAATTGTGTACAGTCTTGAGCATATATTAAACTATCAGTAATTGAGGCATATTGAATATTTGACATGTGCTCTTTCATTATCATTATGAGGACTTTGAGATTTAACAATATGTCACTTTTGTACAATAAACGCTTTATTAGGAAGACAATAATGCATATCAAACCTACTTAACACACTAAATGTAAGTTTTCTGAAACCAACTGAATATACCTTTATCTTTGTCACAAACAATCTCAATCTTTAAACAGAATAGAAGCTTCAATTAAAATTTTCACCTAAAGTGACATGAAAACATGTATTACTCAGATAATAAGTCAATGTTTATGGTTACTAATATAATACCATCGATGTAGAGCACTTGAAATACACCACTCCTATTGATTTTTAGACATATGCACTAATCGCAAATGTTTTCCTTAAAGCGACAGTCTCATCAAACATTAATTATCATAAACTATATGCCTTTTAAGTCTACAAATGGACCTCTCGAGTTAATTATCCATATGTTTCAACATAGAAACCACAAAACATTGAGGTCGTTCCATTTAGACATCTCAACGTCTAACTGGTGTAGCTTATAGCCAAATAAGCCACCAATATCATAAAGATTTTAAAAGAATCAATGATAGAAACAAGATAGCAATATTATCTACATTTAATTTCTTCTTTTCATTTAAAGTCTTAGGCCATAAGATCAACTTTAAACTTTTTTACCTAGCTTATAAAGTACCTTTTAACCTTGTAAGTCTATTTACAATCAATTAAACTATAATTATGTGGTCATTTATCTATATCCCTCACACTATTATATAACATTAATGCAATTTCAGCTTATATGGAAACTCTAACTCAAAGAGTTAGAATCACTAACAACCTCTTGAAAAGTAATAGAATTAGAAGACATATGAACTTTATATTCATGTTCTTCTATAAGTTTATGTGTAGGTTCAGAAATAAGATTAATGGGATCTACTATTAGTTCATTGCTTTATAGCATTTTTTATCAATAACTAAATCATATAAAAGATTGGCATAACATGTCCTTCAATGAGAATGACTTTGAGAAATTCAAAACCTAATACTCATATTCTCTAGGTCATCTTCTAGATAAATAACACAGTTAAACTCGATAATTCTAGTATTATATGATAGAAGATTGAATCTTGAATCTTGAAAGCCGATGCAACAACCAATAAAATGCCACTAATAGTTTTCTAATCAATTTGTATTACAACTCTAAATTGTATTACAACCCCAAACACAAAAAAAGCTTAAAAATTGACTTTTAGTCTGACAACAAATTGTAACGACTTTTAGGAATTGATTTTGCTTGAAACTTAATTTAGACTGAATGTTGCAGTCTCTAAGGTTTCATTCCACATTAATTTTAGAAATGTGGAAAGACACAACATGTACTGCACCATTCCCTAAAGTACGCAATTGCTTTTTTCTATAATCTTACTCTCTTTTGGTATTCCAAGCACAGCTTACTAAGTGCCAACACCATAATCTTGTAGAAAACTTAATAGAATAGTCCAGGGTTAAGCCTAGTTTCATCATACTGTTCATAGCATTCATCATCTATGTATGATCTTATTGCCTTAATTTTATGTTTTCAAAAACTTTGATAGCATATTTAAAATATTTTAAAACTTCCACAAAGTTAGACTTCTCATTCCACATGACTGAAACCTAAATGATCTTTAATAAGGGTGATGAAACGTTATATCCACTAAAAAAAATAAGTGAAAACGGTCTATAATTGTTGGTATACATTAGTTCCTAAACAAATTTGTATTTGTTAATGATGACCATATATTAGCAACGAGATTTCTCTAAATACAATCTATATGTGCCAAATTCAGAATGTCCTTAACACTTATTCCACAACATGGTAGACTTCTAATCGATTATACCATCATTAAAACTAACAACCCTATTATTTACTATATTCACAACGAAGAATACCCGTGTTAACAACTATTTTCTCTTTATTTGATCTTCAATTGCTCGCCAATTTCAAATTTTGGCTTATCGACACTAGCATCAGTATCCAATCATGAAAAGTAGAAACCATGGTGTCTAGATTGGATTCAAACCAAAAAGGAGGATAAAATGCCTTACTTTACTTTTTAATATAGAAAACTTTTACAATTTTCCCTCTTATGCCTAATATATAACAAAAGTGGCACACATTTCTAAATTTTTCTAATTTTAAAATTTAGAGGCATTCATAGAACTGAAATGAGAAATGGGCCTAACAAGATTCTTTCTTTTAAATGACCTTTTACTGGGACCTTTCTCAATAGTGTTCCATTTGGTAGTAACACTGACTTATATCACCAAGATGGTAGAATAAGATTTATCGATGTACAGTGTCTCCTATTCTTAGATGGTTAGAGCATTCAAGATTTTTAAATCCATGCTTCATTGTATACTTTATAAGTGAATTTCACACTATCACCCTAAAAGGAAGCGATTTAAAAATCTATCATACTAAGAATTTGTATCATATTTTAACATTGGTCATTTCTAGAATGTGCTTATAGAAACCACTTATCGCATCCAATATAGTAGTGAAAAGTTTATTTGGTTCGATATTTCAAATTTATAGAACTTTACAAATTGTATTTAAAGTCATCCTTAATTATCAGTGTCGTACACGCTTTCTGATGCTTTCACTAATGGTATACATATATATCATAAGAAATTCTAATTAGAGTGTTTTAGGATGTACAATATCATTTTATCCTTAATCAAGCTCTTAAAAGTGGGTATGAAATGTGGATTGACTTTCAGGTAACATTTAAGATTCATTACATCCAGAATAGAAAGAGCAATACACTATTTATTAAAGTTGATCCTATAAGATGATAGTTGTAAAGATAAGACCAAGATTGGAGTCTTTATAGAATAACTCAAAATGGTATTATCAT